CACTCTTGTACAAAAATTTTTTAAAATATATCTGTGACATTATATATATATATATATATATATATATATATATATATATATTATGTGACTTTTTAATGCTAACAACCAAAAATAAAAAGTGTGTGTATTAAGTGATATAACCAAAAATAATAAGTGATATAAAACAACACTTAAATGTGTTTGTATTAAGTGATTTTTTTTAGTTCTTATGTATTCTTTTTAGTTCTTATTAAAACAATTATTTATTTTTGTCTGATAAATTTTGAAATATTAATATAACAATATTAACATAACATTTCTGTATTTTATAACTTTTAATATAACAATATTAGTTTTTATATATTAAAAAATATTTTAGTTATTTTAAGTTAATATTTAAGTTAAAACATATTAAACAATATAAATAATTCAAAATAATAAAATTTAAAAGTATTTAACGTAATTAAATTATAAAAAATATTTATTCAATTTTAAAATTTACGACCAACTAAAAATAACATAGAGAAACAAATTTTAATTTTTCTTATTTAACTTAAAATTATATTAAATTGTAGGATATAGTAAGAGTAACTTCCGTCTAAATTAGAAAAAACGAACACCACACAAAGTGGTTGATTGGGATGACAGAGCTTGTTCCCTCTTACGTGGTGAGAAGGAGTAGTGACCCCATGCTACCTTGAAAATTATTAATAGTCTAAATCACTATTTTACACATAAATTATGAATTCATTAAAATATTTTTTTTTATTTCTATTAAGGACCACATAAAAATATTATACTATAACTATATATTTAAGTAAAAGTGCACAGGAGAATAATGATTCATTTGTATGATTGAGATGGATAATGATACTTTGACAACTGATAACATTTTAATACTATTTATGTGTCATTTTGTGATTGGTCGATGTTGTTATTTATGATTATTATTATTGATTGTGAAATAATTTTAAATCAATAACAAAATGACACGTATGACAGGTAAATGATGTTAAAATGTTGTAAAAAAAGTATTGGGTATGATTATCCTATCTACTATTAACTATGATATCTATCCATAAGTAGTCAATTTATAGAAGCGTTCAGATAAAATATCATTACTGATTGAACCACAGAACTTAACTTTACGTTAGATGGAAAAAAAATAAAATTTCAAGGACGCAACTAATTAGTGTGATGAATCTGTCAAAAGCTAGGGCATGCCTTAAAATAATTGTTGATGCAAGGTGCACAGATTAGGGGAACAAGAGCTGCGAAAGCGACCAATACCGCTGTTGTTAGCCACATAAAAATTAGGTCATTCGCTATTTGGTTTTCCATTTAGTACTTTATGTTTCGATTTGACACCATTTATCATTCATTTTTGTCTTCAACCTTAACAAACTCAGACCTGATAAGTACAATAATTTTAAACCTTACAAAGTTGTACCATAATAATTTTACACCATTTAATCATTTTCTAAATTACTATTTACTTTTCTTTTATTATTAACAAACTCATTTTAGTCCTTCATTCTTTAAATCACTTTACTTGTCCAATTGGATTTAACATCATTAACTTTAGGATTCCCAGAAAAAAACAAAATGTCACCAACTTTGTGTTTGTTCTTTCTTCAAGTTTAGATTTTTGCAAGCAGTGAGCAAAATCAAAGCAGAGAAGACCAAAGCCAACTTCAATTGCAGCAAACTACTTTAATGCAGAATTAGTTTGTCTCTGTTAAACAGTAAAACTCGTTTCAGGAAATTACAGTTAATCAGAGAAAAGTTGCAATAGGCAAACAAAAATAGACTGTTCTTGACAGAGAGTTAATGCAAAAGAATAAGTTTTTATCTATTATTGTTGCAAGAATCGAGCATAAGAAAAAGCTAATTTCTTCTGGGTACCAAACCAAACTAATAAAAGCATGAATGAGATGATTTACATTTACTGAAAAACTCTCTGCTAGCAAAACTATCGTGGTCACGTATTAATCTTATGAAACATGTTCCATAAATCTTGAGCATGGACTCCAGCCTCAGTTATTTACATACAGAAATCGATACACTGTTACAACTTGCTACAGCATAACTTGCACATACGATGTTGTAGCTCTTTTATCTTGATTGGAAGTTCAGTGTCTTGATGCAGAAGGAAAATACAAAGGCAAAGAAGACAGTGAAAGCTACCAAAACTGCAGCAACTGGACCCATGAAATCGGGTTTAAACCCGTAGTGGTTTTCAATGTATCCTTTAACAGTGAAATTTATGGCACTCCCTGGCACATCAATTGGGTCCTCTATATCTCTGTATTGAGAGACAATTAATCCATACACCGTCCATGCCACTGGGCAAATCCAGTAATACCACACCCACCATTTAGGAATTTTCTGAAAAGACAAAGTACCATGTTAGTAAAGATTATGCAAGATATGTTATAATGTTTAAATTATGAGTTTAGATATGATAAAATTCAAAACTAGAAGAAGGGTACTCACGGGTCTTGGGATAAAGAAACCAGAGAAGAGATTGAAGAGTCCATAGAATGCTGCTGCAAAGATTGATGCCACTTGGTGGTTTGGTGTGATGGAAACAGTCATCATACCATAGTATGTGAAGTACAAGAAAGAGAAGAAGCTGACAAAGAAGAACCAAAAGAACTTCTCCACTTTCCATTCAAAGTTCACCATGGCATAGATTAGGAGTGAGTAATACACAGCTTGAACAAATACATAAGGGATTTCGGCAAAAACCTGCAATTGCAAATGCAGTAGCATAAGGATAACTCAACAAGGTAATAACACGACAACAAGAAACAAATATCTGAAAATGTTATTGTTCTTTAGAGTAAATCAATAATTCACCAACCTGTGAGAGGGCATAAGGCAGAGGAGCATACATTCCAGCAGCTCTTTCTCGATAGAACACTGTTCTTTCAACGGCTACGATTGGTTGAACGGTTTGGCAGTTGTTAATGCCGACAAAAATAACAGCAGCATACATTGCTCCAATGATCATTGTAAGATCGCTTGAGGTTTCCCTAGACAAAAATAACCAGATAAATTAGCTAAAATTTAAAGCTAACGGTTGAAGAGTGGAGTTAGATTTCACAGAAAGCAACTCTCACCTATTTCTGCCAATTCTCCAAAATATTGTCCCTATCATGAGGGCACTTGCCAAGGTGAAAAAGAATCTGACAAGATTATAATCTGGACTTCTCCAGTATGTCAGCCACTGCTTCCAAAAACAGGATTTGAATTGCCCCAGTGAAGATTGAGAGTATTTAGTGGGGAAATACAGATCAGTAGTTCCAGGTGGGGGTGTTCTCAGCTCCTTTACAAGGGCTTTGTTTCGCCTGTTCAATAAGCAAATGTGTTAGCTCAAACCAATAAAAGCATGTAAAGTGTCTGAAAATGTAGCCATTTGTTAGTTGACTCACTGAAACAAAGATGAAGTCTTGTAGTATTCAGCAAAGTCCATTCCGAGACGAACTTCAGCTGCTACAGAACTCACTTCCAGCATCCATGTTGCAGGGTTGTACATCTCTTTAATTTTTGGGACCCCTGGAATTGCCTGTGACCAAGGACATGGTATGAATCTTGATGTTAAACTCCATGCTAAAGTACATGATAAAATGAATACAATCACTTGGATTGGGTGTAATACCTCAAAGTATTCTATAATCTTGTGCGAATTTCGGCCTAATGGTCCTGAGTAGATCACTTGCCCTCCTCTTTTCATCAACAAAAGCTGGACCAAAAAATTTTCATTAAGCACCAAAGAGGCTATAGGCGATACAAAGAAGAGAAACACAGTATAAATTAGTTTGTAGATTGGTTGTTACCTCATCGAAGGCTTCAAAGATATCAATGCTAGGCTGGTGAATTGTGCAAACAACCGTCCTTCCCGTATCCACAGTGTTTCTCACAGTCCTCATAACAATAGCTGCTGCTCTTGCATCAAGTCCTGAAGTGGGTTCATCCATGAAAATGATTGAAGGATTAGCAACGAGCTCAACAGCGATGGTCAACCTCTTTCTTTGCTCAGTTGACAACCCTGTAACTCCTGGAAGCCCCACTATAGCATCCTTCAGATTATCCAGCTCTACCAGATCCATTACTTGGTCTACAAATTGCTGAAAAGATAAGAAAAAAATATTTAATTTTTAGTTCACCCTTCTATGATCCTTAATAAGAGAAGAACAAAAGGGCTATACTATATTGCTGAGTACTTACTATTTTTTCCTCCTCACTAACTTCTTTTGGTAAACGGAGGAAGGCAGAGTAAATCAAAGATTCACGAATAGTAACTTGGGGTGAATGAATATCAGTTTGTTCGCAGTAACCAGCAACTCTTGCAAAGGTTTCTTGGTTCTTGGGGAACCCAGAGATTCTAATATCTCCTTCAATGTAGCCACCAGTCTTTCTTCCTGCTAAAACATCCATTAAAGTTGTCTTCCCAGCTCCACTAACTCCCATCAGTGCAGTTAGCACTCCAGGCCTAAAGGAACTGGTTACTCCCCTAAGCAGTTGTAGCCTATCTTCAGCCACACCTTGCGCTTTCATTTCCTGTAAAAGTTATTAGAGTTAGAACTTACTTTATAGGTACACCATGGATTGTTAATGGTGCATATTATGAAGTTATACTAAAGAAGTAATCTGATCCTTACTGCAGGCATGTCGACGTAGTAATTAACAGTGTCAAAGGACATTGCAAGTGGTTGAAAAGGTAGAATCATTCCTCTTTTGGGGGCAACTCCAGTAGCTGAATCATTTGCTGAATCAGCTTTTCTTAATCCACTGGTAGCTTGGCTTCCCATTCGCTGCATTGCCACTTCTCCTGAAATGATTCACATAACACAAACCGTATTACATCTGTAAGAACATTCTTTTAGCCAAACCATCAAAGATTATATATTAACGTTGTTGGCTTTAGCACTTACTTGCATTATTTCCATCAGCAGTAGATAATGATCGAAGCATTGAATCTTTGTTGGACTGTGGGGGCCTTACAAGTCTAGGTTCTTCGTTGGTGTCTCCTCCAGTCTCCATTTCACTTGCATCTTCCTCAGAAATAATTGCTTGTTTCTTTCCAAGAGCTAGTGCACCAAACAAGAAAAAAGAAAAGATTTTTTAAGATAGAAAGTGAAATGAACAACTCGTTTGAAAGATTGATAAAAGTTAGAGCTCTTACGGTTAAGGTACATAAGCGCAAGGGTGAAGAGAACATTGTAGAAAATGACATAACCAAAAAGAGCTGCGGCTCCTATCCAGTACCATTCTTCTTTAGCAAAAACATCAAAGTTTCTTAGTACTGACAGACCCAATGTGGTACTTCGATCCGAAGATGTCTGCAGTCAAAGACATGTTCAAGTTAGAAACCAACGAGTTTCTTTTTAGGGAGTTAAATGCATTTTCATTTCTCAAATTAAAAAGCTTCTGCTATTTACCTGTGGATGCATCCACCTTGGAGCAAACATTTCATTCACAGCCAAGGAATTGAAGGCATATGTCAATGGTGACACCCAGTAAGCCCACACCCACCAATCAGGAATTTCACCTGTAACCATTGAGCATGCATGTGAGCACATTCTTTGAACAAATGTAATCTTAGAGACAGTTGCCAAATGCTTTTGCTTAAAAAATTTGGATTGTCA